AGGTTTGCATACCACCCTCCTGCTATAGATAAGCACGAATATAAAATCCATGGCATCGATACCTCTTGCCGTTTCTGCGATCCTGATACAGATCTGTAGGCTTCCGAAGATCGCACTGTCTACAACTTTCTCCTAAAATTGGTGGACGACGAGCTGCTATCAGGATCACAGAATGCGAGGAGTTTGCAAATACGACTCTGCTCTTGATATTAGATAACACGAATATCAAATCCATGGCATCGATACCTCTTGCCGTTTCTTCGCGATCCTGATCAGATCTCAGGCTTCCGAAGATCGCACTGTCTACCGAACTTTCTCGTAAAATTGGTGGACGACGAGCTGCTAGCAGGATCACAGAACGCGAGGAGGTTTGCAAATACGACCCTGCTCTTGCTATTAGATAAACGAATATCAAATCCATGGCATCGATACATCTTGCCGTTTCCGATCCTGACAGATCTATCGCATCCGAAATCGCATGTCCTACCGAACCTTCTCGTAAAATTGGTGGACGACGAGCTGCTATCAGGATCACAGAAACGCGAGGAGGTTGCAAATACGACTGTGTCTTGCTACTAGATAAGCACGAATATCAAATCCATGGCATCGATACCTCTTGCCGTTTCTGCGATCCTGATACAGATCTGTAGGCTTCCGAAGATCGCACTTCTACCGGACTTTTCTCCTAAAATTGGTGGACGACGAGCTGCTATCAGGATCACAGTGCGAGGAGGTTTGCAAATACGACCTGCTCTTGCTATTAGATAACGCACGAATATCAAATCCATGGCATCGATACATCTTGCCGTTTCTGCGATCCTGATGCAGATCTATAGCTTCCGAGATCGCACTGTCTACCGAACCTTCTCGTAAAATTGGTGGACGGCGAGCTGCTATCAGGATCACAGAACGCGAGGAGGTTTGTAAATACGACTCTGCTCTTGCTATTAGGTAAACGCGAATATCAATCCATGGCATCGATACCTCTTGCCGTTCTGAGATCCTGATACAGATCTATACGCATCCGAAAATCACACTGTCTACCGAACCTTCTCGTAAAATTGGTGGACGACGAGCTGCTATCAGGATCACAGAACGCGAGGAGGTTTGTAAATACGACTCTGCTCTTGCTATTAGATAAACGCGAATATCAAATCCATGGCATCGATACCTTTTGCCGTTTCTGCGACCTTGATACAGATCTGTAGGCTTCCGACGAAGATCGCACTGTCTACCAGATTTTCTCATAAAATTGGTGGACGACGAACTGCTATCAGGATCACAGAAACGCGAGGAGGTTTGCAATACGACTCTGCTCTTGCTACTAGATAAGCACGAATATCAAATCCATGGCATCGATACCTCTTGCCGTTTCTGCGATCCTGATACAGAGCTGTAGGCTTCCGAAGATCGCACTGTCTACCAGACTTTGCTCCTAAAATTGGTGGACGACGAGCTGCTGTCAAGATCACAGGAATGCGAGAGGTTTGCAAATACGACCCTGCTCTTGCTATTAGATAAGCACGAATCAAATCATGGCATCGATACCTCTTGCCGTTTCTGCGATCCTGATACAGATCTGTAGGCTTCCGAAGATCGCACTGTCTACCAGACTTTTCTCCTAAAATTGGTGGACGACGAGCTGCTATCAGGATCACAGGAAACGCGAGGAGGTTTGCAAATACGACTCTGCTCTTGCTATAGATAAGCACGAATATCAAATCCATGCATCGATACCTCTTGCCGTTTCTGCGATCCTGATACAGATCTATACGCTCCGAAATCGCACTGTCTACCAGAACCTTCCTCGTAAAATTGGTGGACGACGAGCTGCTATCAGGATCACAGAATGCGAGGGGTTTGCAATACGACTCCTGCTCTTGCTATTAGATAAACACGAATATCAAATCCATGGCATCGATACTCTTGCCGTTTCTGCGATCCTGATACAGATCTGTAGGCTTCCGAAGATCGCACTGTCTACCAGACTTTCTCCTAAAATTGCAATACGACATTGGAGAATTGTTATCAGGTTTACAGAAAGGCGAGGAGGTATGCAAACGCCATTCTGCTCTTTGTATGAGATAAGCACGAAATTAAATCTATGGCATCGATACCTCCTGCCGTTTCTGCGATCCTGATACAGATCTACAGTTTTCGAAAAATCGCACTGTCTACCAGACTTTTGTCGTGAAGTTGGTGGACGAGGAGTTGTTATCAGGAACACAGAAGCGCGAGCAGGTTTGCAAATACGACTCTGCTCTTGCTATTAGATAAGCACGAATATCAAATCCATGGCATCGATACATCTTGCCGTTTCTGCGATCCTGATACAGATTCTGTAGGCTTCCGAAGATCGCACTGTCTACCAGACTTTTCTCCTAAAATTGGTGGACGACGAGCTGCTGTCAGGATCACAGGAAATGCGAGGAGGTTTGCAATACGACTCTGCTCTTGCTATTAGATAAGCACGAATATCCAAGCCATGACATCGATACCTCTTGCCGTTTCTGTGATCCTGATACAGATCTATACGCATCCGAAAATCGCACACCAGTCTACCGACCTTTCTCGTAAATTGGTGGACGACGAGCTGCTATCAGGATCACAGAAACGCGAGGAGGAATGTAAATACGACTCTGCTCTTGGTTAGATAAACACGAATATTAAATCCATGGCATCGATACCTCTTGCCGTTCTGCGATACTGATAAGATCTTACGCATCCGAAAATCGCACTGTCTACCGAACCTTCCTCGTAAAATGGTGGACCACGAGCTGCTATCAGGATCACAGAAACGCGAGGAGGTTTGTAAATACGACTCTGCTCTTGATATTAGATATTAAGCTCACCCACCGTACTTCTCGCGCCATCTAGTGAGCGGCGCTTCAACGCATCAACCGTTTGCTACTGGCCAGGCGGTTACCCTACGTTACAGACCGGCGAAAAATCTACAGGTTTCTTTGTTACCAACCGCTGACGCAAAAGAGATGGGATGATGGTGCCACGAGACACAGACATTATTATTCACATATTCACAAAGTATTGTACCCT